GAAGTCCCCCACTAATATAGTTTTGTTGTTTTTCTTCCTGTAACTCCCTTAACTTCTCCTCTAAGAATTTGGATGCTATACTACTTGGCGCATATATGTTTAGTAATGATATCACTTCATTGTCTATGGTACCTTTTAGCAGGATGTAGTTTCCTTCCTTATCCCTTTTAATTAGATCAATTTTTGCTTTTGCTTTGTCTGAGATCAAGATTGCTATACTTGCTTTTATTTTTTCTTTTTTTTTTCACTTCAGCTGAAGCATAATTCTCCAGCCTTTTGCTGTATGTGTATCCCTCTGGTTCAAATGTGTTTCTTGTAAATAGCACATTGTAAGATTCTGGCTTTTAATCCTCTCCTATCTGCTTTAGTTTTATGGGAGAGTTCATTCCATTCACATTCATAGTTATGTTTACTGTGTCTTTCTCTCATCCTATTCCCCCTACCCTGTTTATGCCTTTCTCTCCTCTTTCTCCCTTTCCTTCTTTGACATTTTCAATTTGGGATCTCTTCTAGGAGGTGATCAGTGAATTCTTTGATGACTATTTTACCCTTTGGTTCTTGGACCTCATGGAAGTTTTCTTTGATGATTCCTTGAAAGTTGCTATCTAGGCTCTTTTTTTTCCAATCATGGCTTTCAGGTAAATCAATAATTCTTAAATTATCTCTGTTGGATCTATTGTCCAGGCAAATTGTTTTCCCAATGAGGGATTTTACATTTTCTTCTATTTTTTCCATGATTTTTATTTTGTTTGACTGATTCTTGATGTCTCACAGAATCATTAGCTTCCATTTGCCCAGTTCTAATTTTTAACAAATTGTTTCTTTCTATTAGATTTTGTACCTCCTTTTCCATTTGGCCTATTTTACTTTTTAAGGAGTTCTTCTGTTCAGTGAGTTTTTGTGCCTCCTTTTCCATTTGGCCAGTTCTACTTTTTAAGGAGTTGTTTTCTTCAATGCACTTTTTTTTATTTCTCCAATTGTATTTTTGAAGGACTTCTTTTCTGTGGTCAATTTCTCTCCTTCCTTTTTCAAGCTATTGACTCTGCCTTGTATACCTCTCATTTCTTTTCCCAATTTTTCTTCTACCTCTCTTATTTGACTTTTAAAATCCTTTTTGAGCTTTTCTAAGAAGGCATTTTAGGCTTGAGACCAGTTCATATTCCTCTTTGAGGTTTTGGATGTGGGTATAGTGACAACTTTCTCCTCTTCTGAATTTGTGTTTTCATCTTCCCTGTCCCCATAGAAAGAATTTATTGTCATTGTCTATTTCTGCTTTTTGCCTATTTCTTGGCTTTTAAATTTGAGCTCTCCTGCTGGAGCACAGGGGGCATTGACCCAAGCTTCTTGTGCTGGAGGGCAGGGACCTGGTCACTGGCTGTGTGTGCTGGGGCCTCAGGTGCTGGCACCTGGAGGTTTTAGGGGTCTAGCTGTTTACCTGGTGGTGAGATGGGGTCAGCAACACTGAAGTTCTTAATTGGGAGGAACTCTAGAGGATGCTTGCTCACCTGGGCTGCTCTGAAGCAGTGGAAGGTTTGGCTGCTGGAGATGGCCTACCTGCCTGGAGTTGTACTTCCTGGAGTTGTTCTGAAGCATGGGGAGGTTTGGCTCCTGGAGGATGCCTTCTCACTGGCATACGTGGTGATTTTCTAAGCTGGGGTCTACTTGTTCCCCTGCCTGTGCCAAGGCACCCAGGGTAGGAGGGGCGTGGATCCTGGTGCTGGCATTTCCCTGCTCCACCATCCTAGGGCTCAGGATCTCCTGCTGGTTTGCTGAGGTGGGGCTTGCTACTGGCTTGCTGGGGCATGTAGCATCCTGTACTGCTCCCCTTCTACCACAGTGAGAGGGACCTTTCCTGTTAATCCCCCAAGCTACCCAGGCTAAAAGACTGCTGCACCTCATCTTTCTGCTGGCTCAGCTGTTCCAGGGTCTTCCTGGGGTTATATTTTCTGAGTTTTTAGAAGTCAATGAAGGACAGTGAGAGTGACTTATTTCTTACTCCCCATCTTTAAATCTTAATGGTGAATTATTATTCTTGCTATCCTATGCCAGTAAGTACTTTCCTTTATGCAATAGGCCCAGATCTGGACTGGAAAAGGATCTCAGAGGCCATCCATTCAAACCCCTCCCCATTTCACAAATATTGATAGTAAAGTCAGGGAAGATAAGGTCATATACTTTGTGAGTATCAGAAGCAGAATTTCAATCCAGATCTTCCTAACTCCAAGTACAAACCTCTCTCCACTATAGCATATTCCCTCTTAATATCTTAAAGAGAAACCAAGAAGAAATGAAAAAGAGGTGATTTTGCTGAGACAGCTGGGTAATACTGAAGAAGTCACAGATTAGATATAATCTGATTTAGGAAAGGGAAGAAAATAATGGAAAAGAGGTATCTAAATGTTCTATTTGGTATTGACCATTGGAAATAAATTTCTCAAAATCTTTTTTTATCATGTGCTATTGTAATCATACAATTTAGCAATTTTTATAAATAGAACTAAGTACAAATAATTACTTTAAGACTACCATGAGTGCCAATACAATATTTCATGTAAATATTTTTTATTATTAAAGTATTACATGACTTTTATCCAGATTAGTATTCTTTAAAGATTCTGATCTTATATTTTAAAGTAGATCTCCAAATGTCTTTTGAGAGAAGCAATTATTAGATTTTACACTCTTCCTGATATACTGCTTTAACTATGCCCTTCCTCTACCCACTCATCACTCAAAAATTTTCAGGCACTTTCCCTTGATTCTTGAATGAAGTATAAGTCCCCAATCTTGGGATTCGATGTTCACTTGTTATTATTACAATATGGCAACAATTTATCTTTTTCCACTCTTATCACAGTTCTGCCCCTTCATCTATTTAATCTGTATTCCAACCAAACTGGACTATTTCCCCATTCCTATTCCTTTTGTGACCCTCTCACCTATTCTTTCCTTTAGTTTCAACATCGACTATTCCTGGAATGTGCCATGGTTCATTTCAGTCTTGTGAAGTACTGAACTTCCTTTAAGCCCCAATATTTGTACAGCCTTCCACAAAACCTTACCTGTCCCCTTACAGCTAGATTCTATTGTTCACTCATTTATTGTGAATGACTCCAAATGGGGTTTTCCTGGCAGAGATACTAGAATGGTTTGCCATTTCCTTTTCCATTGCAGTTAGATAGCATAATGGATTGAGAGCCTGGAGTCAGGAAGACTTTGGCCTCAGACACTTATTAGCACTGTGGCCCTGGCTTATTAAGTTATGTGACTCTGGGAAGTCACATCATTTTCCTCAACTGTAAAATGGGAATAATAATAATAATAATAATAATAATAATAATAATAATCCCCACTTCACAAGGCAGTTGTGAAGATCTAATGAGATAATATTTGTAAAGTGCTTAGCATAGTGCCTGGCACAAAGTAGGGACTCAATAAATATAATTTCCCTTTTCCTTCCTTTCCCTTGTCCCCAATTAAAAGTGAATGCTCCCTTCTCACAGACAGCCTGGACCTCTCTTTGCATTTACCCCACTCTCTTGTGTACCATAGTTAATTTTGTATGAGTGAACTCCCCCCTCAATGTGTTTGTAAATTCCTTGAAAGCAGGGTCTAGAGTTGGGGGGGGGGGAACAAATTTGCTGAAACAGCTGCTAACCCATCTGAGAGAGTGGCATGGGCCACAGACAGGTTAAATGACTTGCCCAGGGTCCCACAGCCAATGCATGTCAGAAGCAGGATTCGAAACCAGCTCCTCTGGACTCCAAGGCCTGGTTCTCTCCACACTAAGGATGAGGCCCTGTGTGCCTGCCTGTGCCCCAGTCTTCCCAATCTGAGCCACTGCCATGCTCCCTCCCCATCACAACCCACCCACCCCCACCCCCACCCTCACCCCACCCCATCAGTGATCCTATTCTGAATCTATAATCCTACAGTTCTCTATTTCTGAGTTGCCATTACTTGTCTGTGCAGGGAGGGAGAGAGGGGGGACCTCGAGAGAGGGTGGGGTGCAAATTGTTCCTTGAAGTTTGGATTCAGACAAAGGACTGCACTTGAGGACGTAGATGGTCACATGTGCCCTCAAGGCTGCAAGGTTCCCCACCCCTGGTAGAGCATAACTGTTTTTATACCCCCAGTGTCTGTCAAAATACCCTGGCTAAAGGAGGTACTTAATAAATGCTTGTTTGTTTGACTTGGACTGTATTCAAACACGAAGAATCCACCCTTCCCTTAATAATAAGTTAACTATGAAGAATGAACAGAAGGTATTTTTACAGAGAAGCTTTTAGGCAGTTACATTATTAACTTAAGCTTTGCCTCTTGATCTGTCATAAAAGGGCCCTTAGAGATCATCTAATCTTACTCATTTTATAGATGATGAAATTAAGACCCAGAGAGTAGTCAGTGGTGGAACTATTAATTTTACAACTGAGTTTCTTCAGTTACTTAAACTTAAAAAAAAATCTCTAAAGGTCCCTACCTTTTGTCATATAGCTAGGAGGTTTTAAAATTCTGAACTGTATTCTTCAGCATAGGCTAACTTATTTTTTCGATGAAGTTCTGTGTTTGTGCAGTGAAGTGAATGGGCAAAATCCTTAAACTTATTCTTAAATTATTCTCAATGCATGTATTCATAATTTCTATGAATACCCTAATTAAACAAGTTGCCCACTTTTATCATATTGAAAAAACTACTTTTATTTTTTTTCCTTTAATTTGAAAATAAACATAAATTATTTTAATGCCCTTAATTTTGGTATCTAAGCCAAAATTGGCAGTTATGTCAAACCTACTGTACTGTATGCAGTCACAAACTTTTGCCCCAGGGATATTTGCTCATTTAAGCCCATGAATTTGACACATTTTTCAATTTTGTATATCTCAAAAAAAAATCCCCTAACAATTTATTGACATGTTTCTCAATGCATTTCTTTACTCAAGACAAGTGGAAATACAGTAATGAAGATTCTGATATTTATTTCATTCTTTGCCTATCACAGATTAAAGAGCACCTTGCCAAAGGTCAGCGAATGTTGGCAGGTGATGGGATGTCCCAGGTGACCAAGACCCTGTTGGATTTAACTCAGAGGAAAAATTTTTATGCAGGAGACCTTCTAATATCGGTGGAAATTCTACGAAATGTGACAGATACATTTAAAAGGGCAAGCTACATTCCTGCCTCTGATGGCGTACAGGTAAGAGACAAGAGGACATAAAGGAAGGAAGTGATTGAGAGAAAATCAATTTTCAGTTTAAAGGAGGTAGCGCCAGGGTTGAACACATGATGAGGATGGAAAGAGCATTTGGCAGAATGGAAAGAGCATTTGGTTTTTTGAAGAAGGATTTTGAGTATCCTTTCCCTCTAGAAAAATGACCTTGATTCACTTACGGTGCTTCATTCCAAGCTCAGTGCCCCACACCACAAAAAAAAATAATATTTCTCACACAGATAATCAATGCTATCTATGAAGTGCTCTGAGCTTCTCAGATTTTTTAAAAACTATCAAAATTTTAAACTGATATTACAAAAACCTTATTTTCACACTTAACATCACCACTTTGCCATGGGAAAATATAGAAACTTTTCATTAGGTCCAGTAGAAGCACATTAGGTATCCCAAGAATTTTAGGTTTCTTTGCTTTCATTTTATAAACTAATTAATAAGCATCACCTAGTGATGAGGTCTGGAGGTTGAGGGGTGCTCAGGACCCCAAGATCATGACCCACGGGTCCAGCCAGAGAAGAAGTTTATTAGAGATAAACCATACAGGCCAGACTCTTAAAGAATCTGAACATGGATGATGCCCATAAAGAAGAGGGCAAGAGAAAGTCTCAGTGTTTAAATGGGGGCCAGGGTGGATCTTATATGCACTAAAGTAACTTTGAGTGACCAGAGGAGGGGCTGGGAAATGGGTCTAGGTGACTTAGGGAGAATTCTGATTGGAATGTCTGAGAGATTGAATAGTCAATGGGAATAAATAATGAAGGAAACAGGAAGGAAGAAGTTTGAAAGGCATCTGAATAAGATCAAAAGGTGGGGCTAGGACTTTCAAAGGGAGTTAAAGAGAGTCCATAGGAACCATTTGAAACCACAGTAAGAAAAGTTGAAGGGTTTTCTGGGGCTCGTAGACATTTGGAGCCAAATTCTTTTTAGTGCAAGGGGCAAAGGTCTCGACTTGGGCCCATACCCCATCACTAGGATGTGTTAAGAGAAGTGAAGAAGGGGGGGAGAGTCAGATTGTGTTTATAATAGTACAGTTAGAAAATATTATTAGATGGATTTCTTAAAAGAAAAGCAATCTAGTAACTATTCACAGCCTATTTTTTATGAATGAAAAGACAGTATTGTTGTTTTATAGTAAGTCCATTCAATTTCAGACTGAAGTACAAACACTCAGGTGTTTCAGCATTTTTCAGGCCACAAAAACAATTAAAGCTCTTTAAATGCAGCAGTCTTGTTTTGCTGCAGGTCCAATTTGAATTTTGTATTAACTCTTTTTAAGCTATAGGCTGACTCATTACAGCTGAAAACACTGTTGTGGATCCCTGAATTTCCAGCATAATGACCTATCCTCATGTCTCTTTGCATAAAGTTCATTAAAATAAGATTTTGGCAGACCTCCCAGATGAGATTTTTGCTTTTTTGTTTGTTTGTTTTAACTTTCAGTTAACTCTTCTTTTGGATTTATATTTGCATTACTCAAGAAGAAGAGATTTCCAGAGTAAATGATAGCTAGCATTTACAAAATGTTTTAAGGTTTACAAAATGCTTTATATATCTCAGTTATTCCTCACAATAAAACACTTACCTGTGAGGTAAGTGCCATTATTATCTTCATTTTATAAATAAGGAAACTGAGGCAGAGAGAGGTTAAGTAATTTGCAGAGGATAACTATAACATAGGAGCTTTTGGGCTCTGGCCTCTACAAGGTTCACTCTTGATCTGGGCAGCCAGAAGGACAGCAGAGGAAACATGATGAGGGGTTATTTAATTTATTCCTCTCAATGGGGTTACAAATAATGGGAACACCAACTCCTACAGTATCCCCTAATTACTCTTCAGGCAAGGGCTGATGAGAATATAGAGAGTAGGAGTTCCAGCTCTTACAATGCTCCCATAAGTCTCAAAGACCAGTCAAGACAAGCGCACACTCATAAATCCCCCTAAGCCTTGATGAAGGTAAGTCAAGGCATGCATAGCATTTAGCTTGCATTCCACAAATCCATACTCGCTGACCAGTGCTCACTTGAATTATAGAGTAGCACACAAAGAAGGCAGTTTGCCAACAATAGCCTCATCAGTTTACATTAACTTTAGCAGTATCATGGTGACTTAGCACAGTGCAAGTGCAGTAGGTATTTACAAACTAAGCAGAAATGTTTATATTACTATATGGTTATATAATAATGCACAGTGGCAGTATAAATTCTTTACAGGCGTGATCCTGGGAACTAATATCTATGACCCTGGGAACTAGGAGATTATTTATGGCCATGGATCCTGGGAGCTAGTGTCTCAAAAACCTTGCATACAATCACACAGCTGTTAAGTATCTGAGTCAGGAACTGAATTAACATCTTCCTGGCTCCATGTCCAGCACTATGCCGCCTAGCAGCAGCTCAGTATAGAAAGAGACAAGGTGATAAATTATACTTCATTCAGGCTTTTAGTGATACTTCTTAAATAATACTAATTGTGGGTCTGTGTATATGTAGGAGAACATTGTTTCGATCTGAGAAATCACAGAGTTGGTAAACAGAGTTTTAGCGCAATTAATTGATGCATGATTTATACTTTTTCTAGGAATGGTAATATTTATTTGGTTATTGTCCATTGAACAAGAATCAGAGAAGGATGAGCAGCCATGTTTGGTGGTGGACCAGACATTAACTGGATCTCTAAATCTCTAAATCTCTGAATCACCAAACTCTAATGCTTGGCCACATTAGCAAAATCTCAAGAACCCAGTTGTAGGGAGACAGGGAGCAGAACATAGTAGCATAACAGAACATAGAAGCATAACATGCACTATAGGGGCAGCGAGGTGGTGCAGTGGATAGAACTCTAGCTTTGGAGTCAGGAGGACCTGAGTTCAAATATGGCCTCAGACACTTGACACTCACTAGCTGTGTGACCCTAGGCAAGTCACTTAACCCCAATTGCCTCACCAAAAAGCAAAAAAAAGAAAAAAGAGAGAGAGAGAGAATATATATCATCTTTCAAGAAATTATCAAGGAAAACTGCCCTGATATTTTAGAACCCTGTGGCCACAACTTCTGCTGTGACAGTACTCCTCCTCTCACGGGGGTTAGGACCCAAGACTACAACCCAGATCCAAGTATTAACAATGCAACAGAGTCCTGCCCCTGGTGCCAGCAAAAGGACCCTGTAAATCTCCTTTTGACACGTTGTCCTATCCCCTCCCTATCTGTGGGCTAAGAGGTCTGTCACTGCTGCCACTCATTCATTCATCCCAAACCTGCTCTTGGTTTGTTGTGGTCCAGTCTGCACAGCTTACACTCGACTGCATTCCTCTCTCACTCTGGTGCAGCAGACCTTTCCTGAAAACTTTGTAAGTTGTCTTGGGCTCAAAAATATTTTACTCTATCTTTTTGTAGGTTCTGCCACTCTAGAATATACACTACGATAGGTCTGAGTATGGCTAGATGGAATGACTTCTCACCAATCACAAAGAACAATGACCCCATGGTGGAAAGTGGAGAATTGTGAAGTAGTAGATAGAGAAGTGACTTTGGAGTCAAGAAAACCAGGAATCAAGTCTTGCTTCTAACCCATACTATGTGACTATGGAAAAATCAACTTAATCTTTTAGTGCTCCCAGTCTAAAGTCACAGAAAATATTCTGACCTGTACATATTAAGAGTTCCCCAAATGGATGAAATCATACCCCCCAAAAATTTCTACCCCCAAAAAAAATATTTTCATATTTGTAATATCTATGAAGAATCCTCAAAGGCCTCTCTAAAGTACTTAAGCACCTTCTCTCCTTAGTAACATAACAAAGAGAAAGTGGTATAGTAGAAATCTGAGCTCAGAGTTAGAGAGATGTCTGTCTACATTGATCTGGTTTTACAAATAGTGGCACATGACATTGAGCAAGTCACTTTACTTCTAAGTGTCCTAATACAACTATTTAAGGCTTCAGGTTGCATAGGAGATACTCAACTAGTGGGCAGTGAAATTTCTCTCTCAGTGAAATCACAAGGTTGGTCTCTCCCCCCAAAAATGAGCAAGAACATATAACTATATTCATAGAAAAAAAATTTATCCATAAAATGGAGAAATTACTTCCTATTGTCCAAAGATAAGTTTCTTATTATATTGTGTCAGCCCTCTTAAAGATTTTTTTAAAAATTATTAAACACATAATGAACTTTTTTTCTATTTTTTAAAAAGTAAATAAATGAAAAACACTCCTAACATTTAAGTCCTTACCTTTAAAAATACAAAGCACATTTACCAATACAAAAAGCTTGCATTGGATATTTGAATGATAGTATTTGATTAGGTACTTTACTTCAAGAAACTTAAGATATATCCTATGACAAACAAATTATGATGTAGCCTCAGCTATGCAGGGCTGCTGGTTCAAATGTTTACAGAGCTAACCAGTCAATATAACAAATTTGTCTAAGAATTTTTATTACTGAAATTGACTGGCTATTTAAAGAAATTAACTGAATTGATTGGTAGTTTTGGCATATTGGAGATATAGCAGGGGAATAAAATGCTTACTTATAAGAATTAGTTCCTCTGGGCCAAGAGAGAAGCATTTACTGCATTGGAGAACTATCAATAACAAAAAAAAATAATTTTTCCTTTGGTGGGAGGAGCTGACAGCTTGTTTGAGTGCCTTTATTCTTGGATGAATTGTTAGTGCTTACTGTCTCATACCTTTTCTGTGGCTTAAAATAAAAGGTGCCCTATACCTCTTTTCTGGAGTTAGGAAGTATGTGTGATTATGGGAGGGGTTTCCCTATGCAAATTGAAATAAAGGAAGTTTATAAAAAGCTCTACATACTCTCAGAATTAAGTTCACTCCCTTTAGCCCGACATTAGACTCTTGAAGGTATAACCACAGCCAGTCTTTCTAAACTTCTCACATTTCTCCTCATAATACATATCTGCCATGACACTGTGGTTATTCCCACTTCTCTGTTTGGTCACTCTG